GGCTGGGGCCCACAAATTAAACTGATAAAAGAGAGATAAACAACAGAAAAACCAGTTTTAAATATGTCAGTATACATTGGAGTTCACAAAGAAAAATGTACTGACAGTCCCTGACTTAACAATGGTTCCATTTAACAGTTTTTTTGACTTTGGTGCAAAAGCGATACACATTCAGTAAAAGCCATACTTTACATGTCCATACAACCATTCCATTTTTCACTTTCAGTACAGTATTCAACAAATTACATGAAATGATTGACGTCATACCAGATGATTTTGCCCAACTGTAGGTTAATGTAAGTGTGTTGGTTCAGTGCATTTCTGACTTAGGATGTTTTCAACTTATCATGTGTTTATCAGGATGTAACCCCTTGGTAAGTTGAAGAGCATCTGTAGTTCAAGGAGGTGGCCAGATGATTGAAGCTTGTACACCATATTAGGCTAAACAGAAGGAAAGGGGTTTGGGGCTTCTGGGTGGGGAGGCAAATTATGGAAGGGGAGGAGAGAAGGTGCAAGGTGAATAAGGGTTGTCTCCTAATGCAGATAAGAGTCTCCCAGGTGATCGGAGTTGTCTGGGGGAGTAGCTGTCTTCCCAGTACAGAGACACTTGTCCAAATGGAAATTTCCTTTTCAAAAGGGGAAATTTTTACTCTATATTTAGGCAGTTAAGGGGAAGTAGAGAGCTTTGTCTGCTGGTTCTCAGATGCCTTTAGCTTAAAACAATCTATATGCTAAAGAGGCATATTTTGGGGTGTCATTTCCTGGTACCCTTCCCTGTTTGCTTGTCTTCTCCAGCTTCTAGAGGCTGTCTGCCTTCCTAAGCTCATGGTCTCTTCTCTGTCTTCAAAGCTAGTGATGGCTGGTCCTGTTCTTCTCACATCGCATCCCTCTGACACTGACTCTTTTGCCTCCTGCCTCCATTTTCAGCACCCTTGTGGTTACACTGGGCCTGCTGGATAATCGAGGGTAATCTCCCATCTCAAGGTTGCCTGATCAGCAGCCTTGATTCCATCTGCAACTTCAAATCTTACCTGCCATGCAGCATGACGTATTCATAGGTTGGGGGGTTAGGACGTGGCTATCTTTTGGGTATCATTACCCTGCTTCTTACCCATGTAAGGCCCATTACTATCCGGCATCTGCCTGTGTCCCTGGGTCATCCCCCAAGTCCTGTCTGACTTCTGACACCATCCTCTCCAGGCCTGCCTGGGGCCCCAGCACATACTGGCCCTGGACTGGCATAGTCCTCCTCTCTCCCTCCTTCATTTGCCAACTTAGAAAACAATTCAACGAACCTCACACCCTCTGTGGAGCCCTAAGACCTCACTCCAGCTTCTAGCCTCCTCTCCTTCTACCTTCCACTGTAACCTGGTGGCTGTATATCCACCTTTCATAGACCATGAGTGTTTGGGTAGGGACAGGGCTTTATCTTTCTAACATGATACATGGAACTTATTGACTATTTTATTTTTTAATTAAATAAAAAAAATCAGAACAAAATCATGAGGGACGCTGTTTCGTTGATAGTCGCCAGTGAATATTTTATTTTGGATCCTAATGGAACCCACACCATGAACAAATGGGGCTTTAATGCTTTTTGATCATTGCCATGGTCTTTGTCTCTGTTTGGGCTGCTATAATAGAATACTGCAGACTGGTTGGCTTTTAAGTAACAGAAGTTTATTTCTCATTGTTCTGGAGGCTGGAAGTCTAAGGTCAAGACTCTGTGGATTTGGTGTCTGGTGAGGCTCACTTTCTGGTTCACAGATGGCACCTTCTTACTGTGTCCTCAGATGGTCAAAGGGGCAGGTGGTCTCTTTGGGGTCTCTTTTATGAGAGCACTAATCCCATTCACTAGGGTTTTACCCTTGTGGCCTAATCACCTCCCAAAGGCCCAGCTTCCTAATACCATCACCTTGGAGCTGAGGATTCAACATTTGAATTTTGAGGGGACACAAACATTTAGACCATAGCAGTCATCAGTAGAATTTCTGAAAGATGACACCACAATTATTGTAAACTACGTAATCGGGGAATGTGGTTCATTCTAACACAAACGTAAGTATTTCTAGAGCAGTGGTAGAGAAACTGTGTGGATGCTTGTGTACAAAATAAAGGATATTTGGTTCAAAATGTTAAACAGTTTCTGACTCAGGACCCCAATTTGAATTTTTCCAATTTCACCCAGTTTTGGTAATTAGGAAAGAAAATATCTGCAGCAAAGCAACTTTGTTAGTCAAAAATATCAATTAAACTGGGCTGGCCCATGTTTGCCTCTGGCCTGAGAATGAAGATGAGCAGTATTTGATTATCCCCATGTCCTTGTCCTGGAGAAACAGCTGTCCCCCTTGCTTGTAGGTGATCCTGAAAAATATAATCAATTTTTTCTTCCTTAACTGCAAGTCTCCCCTCAGGGGAAATCACACAGACATTAGAAGCAACACTTTATCACTTGTTACTTCTTCAGTCAAGCAAATGTAAAAGCTTTTACTTTAACAAGATTATAGTATTACTTCAGAAGAGAAATGTGCTAGGAAAAAAGGCTTTACTTCTAAACATTTTTTCATATTATTGCCAGATTCCCACAGAGAGCTCACTGGAGAGGATGGTGTGTTCAGTCTTGTCCAGCACATCAGAGGACGAAGCTGAGAGAGAGGGCCACCATGGAGACTGTCACCCCAAGTGGTCAGAAGCCAAAAACTATCTTGTCCATGAAGTCAGCTGGCTGCGCATCTACAAACAGGTGCTTTTTCACAGCCAAAGTCTCTGTCCTAGAGCTGGGCAGTTTGAAGTGTGTCCAAATCCACTTCCTTCCCCCTCATGTGATTCATCCACTGGCCTCATATCATTAGGCCCTCAGTGCAAGTATCACTGGCCTGTCCTGGGCTTAGCTACACCCCTGGCAATAAGAGGTTCCTCGATGCATGCTCTGTCATTGCTACACAAGCTGGCCTTCTTTGACCAGCTCTGGGGACGTTTGCTTGCAAGTCTTCGGCACTCCTGCGGCACTGTGAGCGCGATGGGGCTTGTGCCTTTGCTCTGGCTTTGATGAGCGGCACCGTGCACAGGCAGGGACTGTGATGGGACAGGATGCTGGGGTCCATGTTCAGAGAGGCTGGGGAGCAGAGTACCCAGTGATGGGGTTACTGCTGGCCGGTAGGGCCCTGGCCAGTTCCCAGCTTTGTGTTTTGTAGAGAGGTTTAGGAGACTGTGGAGCAGAGACCCCCAGGGCAGCCGCTTTTCATTTGCTTTATCAGCGCGGTACATTCCCCATTTCACATTTATTCTCAAAGAATGCACCTCTTTTACTTTCTTTTCCTAATCTTTGTCACTGATCAAGGTCAAAATCTCAAATAGTCCATAAAACATCATTAAGACAGTATAGATGTGTTGGCCACTTGTTGGTGTTAAAGTTACCTGGCACCAAAATGATCAAGTCACGGTGCTGGAATGGCCAGCATCAGAATGATCAGGTGACAGCTTTGGTAACTTAGGCTCATGGTTAATTAAGGCTCAGTTAGCACAAATATCCGCTCACCGTGCATTTCCCTATTTCAGTGTAATGTTGATGATAAACCAC